AAGTCAGGCCTGCCATTAGCTTCAGTGCGCTGGCCCACACCTTCCCAGTTGTTAATTGGAAACCCACTCTTTGCGTCGCTCGGCCGTTTGCAAGGTGTGGACAAGCTGATCATAAGTCAGGCCGGCCATACGGGCCTTGGAGAACCTGTGGCAGGCAGTTTCAGTGCGCTGGCCCACACCTTGCCAATTGTCATTAGGAAACCCCCTTCTTGTTCCTCTCTCAGCTTATTGCAAGGTGTGGACCAGCCAATCACTAGGCAAACTCTCATCTCCGGCCGTGATAAGTGAACGGTTTCTCGGAGTTGACGGTCGACTCTCTGGTTGGCTCATGCTGTACCCCCTCCTCCTTGCAGGTGGCAGGCTGGCCGTTACAAGGCGGCCCTGATCAGGAGCCCCATGGACACCGCAAAGTCGACGACCACCCGGGCCATCCTTCAAGAGCCGCCCCGACCAGAGACGGCCCTTGCGATCACCTACCGACAGACACAAGCCAGCGATGCAGCTGGAAAGAACCCTGATTTTGCGCACTACGGCGAATTGAAAACGAAACGGGGGCGCGAGGTCGGGGAGCGCTTCGTCGAGCCTCTCGCCGACAGGGAGCTCTATCCGCGCGTCATCTGCCAGGCCGACAGCCTGCGTGGGCTCGTGGGCGACGACGCGCGCGTTCCGGCCTTTGACCTGGTCATTCTCGACGAGAGCGAGTCCATTCTTGCGCACCTCTCGGCCGACACCCTGTCGGTGAGAACCGTCACCATCCGGCTGATCGCCGAGCTGCTTCGCCGCGCGCGCCGGGTCATTTGCCTGGACGGACATCTGGGGCAGCGGACCTTCGACTTCCTGACGCTGCACGGGATCCGCTGATCCCCCGTGATCATCAACAAGCACGTGCCGGAGCGGCCTCTCCAGTTCGAGTTTCTTGAGGGGCGGGCTGGGCTCCAGCTGTGGGAGAGCGCGATCTTTGAGGCGCTCGGGGCCGGCCAAAACGTGTTTGTGGCCAGCATGTCGTCGGACAGGGCGCGGAGTCTGGGAAGTGCGGTGGCAGAGCGGGGGCTTGTGGACGAGGGGCAGATTCTCGTCATCACGCGGCACTCTGATGGGGAGGTGAAGCGGGGCCTCGGGAATGTGAACGAGAGCTGGGCAAAGCGGCTCGTCATCATCAGTCCCACGGTGGAGGCGGGGGTGGACTTCAATCGGCCATGGTTCCACAAGATGTTCCTTTACATCTGCAAGAAGAGCACGCACCCGCGCGGGCTCGACCAGATGAAGGGGCGGGTTCGGCAGCTGGTCGACCCCGTGGTCCTGTGCTTTGTCAGGCAGGGCATCAACTTGCCGACGACGGGGCCTGAGGGAAGCGCATACAGGACGCTTACGGGGAGAAAAGCCGGAGGGGTCCCAAGGCTGGGGGTCGAGGAGACGTACCAGTGGTTCCTTAACCGAGATGAGAAGGTCGGGGGAGGGGTCTATTGCGAGGGCGCAATCACGCGCCTTCTTGCGCACAACGAGACGGAGCTCTTTAATGGCCGGACGCACTTCTACGAGGAGTTTACGGAGCTGTTGGAGAGCGACGGCCACGTCGTGAGGGGGGTGCGGGTTCTGGACCAGGCCGATGGGGGTGAGCCGGGCGGAAGGGATCAGAGCAGGGGCAAGTTTCTACTCGAGCAAATGATCGCCGCCCCTGACATCACGCCTGGTCAATTCGCTGCCATCGAGGCCCGTGTCCGCAGGAACGAGGACTCCCCGGGGGAGAGGGTGCAGCTGGAGAAGTACCAGCTCGCAGGATTTTACCGTGTGCGGCAGCTGGACGCCAATTTCCTCAGCACGTTTGGCCCTTATCCGAACCTCGCGGTCGAGTTCATTTTGCAGGTCGTCGATCCTCAATACGAATTCGACGATGAGGAGATCGGGCGGCCAAGGTACGCCTCTCAGAAGGCCGCCATTGCAAAGGAGCTGCTGGAGGTGTTGGGTTTTCCGCACCCCCTCGCCCACGAGCACGTCACCAGGACTCTTGCAGAGCTGAGGGAGGAGCTGGCGGCCACCAGCTACTTTCGGGGATTACTCTGAGACCGTGAAGCTGTTTCAGGCGCGCGCGCTCCCAAACCAGGACGTCCTAACAAAGCAAAAGTCGGCCACGATCGCCCTGAACCACGTCTTCTCGGAGCTCGGGTTGCAGGTCAAGGCCGTGCAGAATGGCCGATTGCCACGGAACGCGCAGGGGCGAAGGGGTGCTCGGATTTATGGGGGGTGGAAAGTGCTGCGGAAGCCTCTGACGCCGATACGGCCAGTCGATGGGCCGGTGGGGGTAGATCTCATGGCCCAGCTGTTGAAGTTGCGACTCAAAGATTCACCTGCTCTAAAGTCGCGAAATGTTCCCGCAGCATTGACAGAGTACATTGACGGGGTTCATTTTAGGTGGCCAGCGATGGTGACCCAGAATGAAGAGTGTCAGATTGTAGTTCGGGCTTCTTGATTCATGGAATGCTTCAAGGTAGGATTTAGTGCACGTATGGGATTCGCGTTACAGAGTGAGTTATTGACAATCAGATGGGGGCTTCTCACTGCGCCATATTGTGACGATGAGGGTTTTCGGTTAGGACTACGCTTATATATTGATTTGCAAAGCAAGTGGCTCCTCAATATTGACCACACCTTGTCGATGATTATAAGGAACCCGTATGTATGCTAGGTAAAGCCGTATGCAAGGTGTGGTCCACCAAGAAAGATTGTAGGTTACGACTTCAAATTCATATGATGTGCTATGTGGCCATTTGAAACATGTCGACACATGGCTGCCGGCATGATCGGATCTGGGCGCGCCTTTGATGAAGTCTACATGTGTTTCTCTGTGGACTTGCTTGTATTGTACAATGGCGTACTTTGAGCGCAACCATGACAACCGACGTCTCGAACATCCGTCCTTCAAAGCTCGCAGATTGCATTGAACATACTTAAGGGATAAGCTCAATTCAATGAAGCAGACTAATCCCCTAATGGAGCAGCTTCCGGGTGGGCGCATGCTTTTTCGAGCCGTAGGGGTCAGCTTCGAAGGCCGTCAGGAACGCATACGCAAGCTTCGACCCGGACAGGAGCTCGTGCTTCGCAAGCATTCGGGGAACGGGTATGACGTATATGCTATCGGGATCTTCGACCCGGCAGATCGCGAGAATCCTTTGGGGTTCGTTGCGCGCGACATCAAGGATTATGAGGTGTTCGACACAGTCCGCCAAAGGTGGGAGATGCCGGCACGGGTGCACCGTGTCAATCAAGGCAGAGGCCGACATGGGCTGTGGGGATTTATGGTTGCGATTGCGGACCCCGCAGTCTCCCCTATTACGGCCTTCAATACCAGCACCAGCATGCCTCATGTTGATCATGTTTTTGATGACAAGATTTGCCAAATTGTGATCAGACGGCGATCGTAAAGTGGCACGTGAGAGGTTATATAACATGAGCGACTCGAGCAGAGGTTCAAGCCTTCAAAGGCGTACAAGAGATATTACATGAAGAATCAAAGCACCCAGTAAAAGCATTGGTACTTTTGAGATTTTTTTGTGCACCGTAACCAACAGTCGAATCCATGGATACTATTCTTGGGTATCGCCCCCGATCGCGCTCTGCAATCCTTGAGATGGATCGTTCTGTGCTACAGAGCGCTCGGTCAGCTATTATAAGAAGCTACCAAGACTTTGGACTGCTTGAAACCGTCCTTGATGTTGTGGCTCTCGGCGGCATGCGAGCGCTTACCGAACCGCATGACCCGGGCCACATAACCAGAGCGCTCGTGCGATCATTGGTTGCCGAGGGTTTTGATGCCTACTGGGATAAGACGGGGATGAACGGGCCGTACGGTGTGAAAGTGAGTTGGCGAACCGCTCTGAATTGCGCAACTCAAGCACGACGCCGTGCACGGAAGTTGCGAGTTAGAACGGCTTATACAAACGAGCATGGTATGGAGGCGTCATCTCCAAAGATTTGCGCAACACCAAGAGCCGACTCCCCATCCTATTCGTGCCGTGCCCCAAGTATCATTTGGGACGACAGCGAACCGCTTTTGGGGCTTGAAATGTTGGCAAACCCGTCAAAGGCTCGAGTGGCTCACGAAGCCTCTGAAAACACGTCGCCCAGATAACGGGAATGCGCCAAAGGAGCCCATTTTGCAATTCTGTACATCTTCAGTCACAGTATCCAAAGCCAGTATATTTTCGTACGAAAATTGAGTGGCCATCTCGCATTTCTGGCGGGTTCTACAGGCTCTCATAACCGTTTTCACCGTGAAAAGCTGCTACCCATCTCGATTTCACGCGATCAATTTTGAACGTGCTCAGTCATGTTATCTGGGATTGGGGACTTTGAGGTGGTCAAAATTTTCTTCACAGTATCTAGATAACGTGAAACATGCAAGGGCCTATTGAAAGCACGAGACATATAACCACCGTAACCCAAGGGGAAAGGCTACTGCGCTCGGCATTCGAAGATGGCACTCGAAAGGATTTGACAATTCAACAATATATCAATCATGTTATGCGCTTGTTTCAAGGGTTCAAACGACAACGAGACTTTACCAGCTTCGATTGGATCAAGGATGCCGACGGGATCATCAAGTATTTTCAAGAAGCGTATCCTACAAAGCTATCGATGCAGGCCACTTGAATTAACCCGCTTCTTGTAATAGCGCGCAAAGCATTCCCTGAGGACAAACAGCTCTATGATGCTTATTATAAACGATATGTGGATATTCGAAAGCTCATGGAGGATGCGAAGCCTCCTCCCCAGCAACTAACAGAGCGCGAAGCGGCCAATTGGAAGACCCTGGACCAGATCAATGAA